TTTTAGCTAAAAACATTTTTATCTTTTTTAAAATATATCTATAATAATAAATTATCTTATTTACTTTGATTTGACTTATTTATGGTCTTATAAAATAAAGAAAATCTTTTCTACAAAAACAAAATATTAAATCTAAAGTTTTTATTATCTTTTTATTCTTTATTCTTTTTTTTTTAATACATATTTCTACTAGGGTCTTTTATAATGACATCTATATTTTTATTTTTCACCATATAGTCATGTTACTATATAATATCAATTGTGCATACCACACTAGGTTGTTATTATCATCTATATGTTACTATTGTCATGATAGGATCCAATTGCAGATTTTGACTATCCTTACTTTTAGAGCTTGGAATTGTATGGAGATGTGTCCTAAGGTATTCTTGCTGATTATCCATGTATATTGTTGATAAAGGTCTAAACCATTGAGGGTATTATAATGTTATAAACTTTTTAACAAGATGAAATGTTGACAAATAATAATAATATTGAATCAACAAATTATCATAGTTTACTTTAATTAGAGTAGTCTCACCTATGACCAAATTCATTACTTTAAGTATGAGATTAAATGAAATCCTTGACTTGAGTACAATATAAGTATTTTTATCCAAATTATAGATATTACTTCTATATTTATATACCACTACTCTTAAGCTTTGTGAAAATTCTTACACATTACTTCAAAATTTATCAAAAATTATTTTGAGTATGATCCAAATTGGCATCTTCATTTTGATTAGCTGGGCTGGATTGAAGGTAGGAAACTAATGTTGGAATATATAGATACACTAACAAGAGATGTGAGGTATATGCATCAAAATTTTTTGATAGATATTTCATCCTCTCTCGATTATCTAAAAAAAGCCATGGTCTAATTCACAACCTATCTAAAATTCTTCTGCAAGCCCTTTTATGATGCTATTTAGCCACTTTTGTATTGATTTGATGAGCTATTTACCTTCAATAAAGTAAGCTACGATGGCTCTTTTTGATAATATTCCATCTTATATTATACCTTATATGCATTTAAATTTACATAGATTACTCATTGTCATATTGCGATTTGGCTACCATGGAAAAATACTGTGTTTATAGATTTGATATATGATTTATTAAGTAACATGATAAGAGCCATATTAATAAATTTTAATTGGTTGTAGAATGGAGTTAGATTACTACTCTAAAAAATGATTATTTTAAAAGACTATTATTAGAATTTATATAGTTTTATTTTCTTTTGATAGTCACTTTTGAAGCTGATCTTATTAGTAGTAACTTTTAAACATTTAGAGTCACCTTAATTAGACATTGGTGATCCTTGAAGTTTTATTTTGGTTCTTTTATTTAGTGTTTAGGGCATATCTTATATAAATCTTATTAGAAAAAAGGTTAGAAAAGGTTCTTATTAGCAAAAAGAGAAGTTAAGTCATCCATATGGATAAATGGAGATTGATGATGAAAATCTCCATTCCTATTGGCCAAAAATCATGCCCAATGGGCTTCAAGGAGGCTGCCTGAGGCCTTATCAGGAATTAGAGTTATTCTTTTGAGACCATTTGAGCTTTAGAGGCTAAAAATAGTAATTTTAGATTTTTGGCTATGGTTTTGGTGCAAATTTTGTGTGATTTGGAATTTATATAAAAGAGATACGGGTGGTCAAAGTTAAGGTATTGATTTTGTATCTACTATTACTCTTTTGGATATAACACCTACGTACAAAAAGAAATATAGGATCAGCAACTTAGGTTGAAAAAATTACTTTATTGGCTATAATTTTGGCATACTATTTGATGGATTCTAAGTTGTAATAAAAGAGATATTAGAGGTTGAAGTCAATGCTTGCAAATTTGAGGGTAGTAAGTGATCCAATTTACTAGTGGTTGTATTTTGAGCAATATCTTGAGTATTTTGACAAGATTTTGGCTCAAAATTTCCAAGAATGTGTATAATTTTGTTAATAAATTTTGTGCTTAAATTTTGTGGGATTTGAGTTTTGGATTTTTGAGATATGAAGAAAATAGTGCTCGGATGCTTATAAGTTAGGATTCAAAGCACTTGCTAGGGTTTCTAAGATGCTAGAAGAACAATAGCGATTTTATAGTTCATTTATTTTGAAAGAAAGCTTAAGGATAATAGTTATATTATGTAGGAATTTGACAGAAATACAATAGTTGGATCAAAAGATATGAATTTCTAAAGTTTGGGAAGAAGAAATCTTTTGCAGGAAAAATATGTTTTGAAGGATTTTTTTACAATTTGGATATTTTACATAAAGTGAAGAAGCTTTGGAAGCTAAGAATATGTATATAAATTAAAGGTAGAATAAATCACTTATTAGAGCTTAGCCAATAACTTAAAATTAAACTCTCTATAGTTAGATATCTCGTGTATTTTCAAATTACAAATCACGCCACATGACATCGTTTTGTTAATAGTAAACCTTTATTACTTCTATAGAGCCCCTCAAAAAGAATTTCACTAAAGGAAGCATGTGTAGAGTGAATGTTTGTATGCCTCTCTATTTGATTTGCTGCAACAATAAGCTTATGGTCTGAGCACTCCTCCATCCATGCTTATTCTACTTGTTGATGTGCCTCTAAAGTAGTTGGTGAAATAAAAACATGTGGTAATTGATTCTTCAGCATCAACATATAAGTTGTTGATGTTTTTATATCTTTTTGTAACTTCTCCAATCTTTTCTTTAGGTGATTTTATAGAAGTTACTATATGCCTTACTTTAAACCCCCTAATCATAAGTTTAACATTAAATCATAATCTTAATTATCCTATTCTATGTTTATATCTTATATTTATATTTTATAATATATAAGGTTGTTGTACACTTGCCTATTATTCAAGAATGTAAAGAATTGGACTATTATACTTTCATAGACATCATGTGTGGTGTTTATATATGCTTGTTGTAAATTCCACGTCCTTGAAGAAGAGCTTGCTGAAGCATCATCATGTCCATGTTTATTCTAATCAATTCAATGCTAAAGTGACAATTGCGTTATTATAACTATTTTCTAATTGCACCTTATCAAAGCTTGTTGTGTCTAAGTTTAAGAGGATGTATCTACAATAAAGACAATTAAATTATGCTTTAGCAATTGCATTTATTATTTAAAGATTTTTCTACTCAATACTCTTAATTCTTTGCTTTTAAGCATATTTGCATCTTTAGGTGCCTCCAACAAAAAAGTTCACTAGTCAAAGTTAAAACTCTAATATTTGGTTTGCATTCAAAATACTACTATTGCACCTTTTGGCTCCACTTTGAAATAAGTGACTTAACTTTGGATATCTTTCATGTTTGGTTTGGATATATTTGAATATGTAGCATTGTGCATTTAACTTTCTTATCATTTTTTATATATATTTTCTATTATTAATTTTTTATTATGATTTTTATTGTTTTAGATTTTTTACTTTAGTATTAAGAAAAGACTAATACATTTTATTTATTAAAAATCTAATGAATTTCAAGCTACTTAATTGAATATCTTATTTTTTATTATTGAATCTTAATAGTTGTAAAAATAAGTGAATTTTTATTATACATAAATGATTTTTTGTGGAATTCAACTATATATTGTTTATTGTCATTTTTAAAAATTATACTATATTTTAATGAATTTTATAGCAATTTGTAGTATTTTCTTCACTCATTAATAGTATTTATTACCAAATAAATAGAAATTATGAATAGTTAGTAATCATCAAAGGTAGGATGGAAATAATCCTTGTTAAGATCTTATAATCTAGGTTGATTGCTTTTGCCCTATTATCCACATGGCATTGTCTTGCTCAATCATGTATAGCAACATAGCCCTATTAGCTATATGGCTTTTATTAATTACTTTTGTTAATTAATAAAAGTTTATAAAAAAATATTTATTTATTATAAATTAAAATTTATTAATTATACAATATATAATAGAGTTGGTTATCATGATTTTGATTAATTATTAAAAGTTATTAGATTTTTAAAGATTAACTATTGCAAAAAGTATTGTATGTACAACATTCTACAACCATTAAAATTGATGTTCTTTTAATATTTTTCATAACAAAGAAGAATAAGTATTGATAGACAAATAAAGAAAATATTAAGTTACAAATAACTAGATTTGTTTGTTTGTTTGTTTGCTTTTTAAGTGAGATTTAAAAATTAGGAAAAAGTTGAATAAAATATACATGAAGCAATAACTTACACAAACAACTAAAAATATAAATAATTTAATATGATCATCTATATGTAATGCTTAGACATTGGATCTTGCTTCTACTTATTGTCTCTTTTCTATGTTTGAGGAGATAGTAAACATGGACAAAATCTTTTTATATTTAGACATAAAAAATCTTTTGAAGGTTGTAGAGCAATGAAATGTGGTAGTTGTGGTGGTTTGTCATTGGGAAGAATAGTACAACACTAGATGTCTTGGATTTAAATTCTCTTGTTAGCATTTAATCTTAATTGCTTTTCTTGCCTTTTATAATTTAAGTGTATTTTTTTTCTTTGTGAAACTAAGTATTTTCACATGAGCTCATTATTTCTGAACATATAGACTAACAAGACAAGTTGGTGAGCCAAAGGGTTTTAAAATTGCTCAAATCCTTGAATTAGATGGGTATTTCTAGGAACATCCATCTACAATACATCATCCTTAAATATATAGCTATGCACATGTTTTGTTTTACTCAATAATGTCCAACAATCAAAAATGATAGTTTTATTGTATACATAAGAATACAAAATTGTATCTAAATACCTATTTAGATATCAATAAGGAGATATTTGTTTTGGGAATTTTATTGAAGTGACACATAGTTAAAGTTATAAAATGAACATATTGTGGCGTAATTGATGTAATAGTTGTTGCATTATTAGTTTTCATGCTGTGCTTGATTAATTTATATTTTTATCCTTTTTCTTATTTATTTGTATTTATATTTATATTTCCTTAAGGAACTGAATGAAATGCATGCAAAGTAATGATTCCCAAAAAATAAAGATAATGCATGAAATATGCAACACAAATACAGTGAAGAATCATCAGCACTGATTCTTGTCCTGCTGTATCCTACACGGAGTCCCCATCCGGACCACCTAACAAAATCCAGAGATGACCATAGCATCCTGAGCAACAATTGCTCTGGCTTACTGACAGACACTTCGTTCACGATCGCAACTGAAGTGTACTTAGTATTACATGCTTGACAGGATATGATGAAGCTCAGATGGTGCGAGGAGGTGCGGGAAGTGACTGGATGATCGGGTCGGATAGCACTGACAACCTCATTGCAGAATCAATGGTAGCAGGCTCTGCCATAGCACCATTCCCTGTATCTCCGCATGCCAACTTCTTAGAAATTGGTGGAATGACGGTAACACCAAGATCCTCAATAGCAGTTAAATGACGAAGAGTGAAAGGGCTGGTCCACATGAACGTGTTCATGGCAGGCGCAACAAACATTGGCTTTGAAAAATCCCAAGCTCGAACAATGCAAGTAAGAAGATTGTCACACAAACCACCTGCAATCTGCGAGTATAGCTAAAAGAGTCAGATTGTTTGATTCTATCGTAATTTTCAAGTGGTGAGAGGAGGAAATTAACAAAGCCATTGAATGTATTTGGGAGAGTGCCCCTGTAAAAAAAAATATATATTGAAGAAAATAAGAAATGATATTGAACAACCTCTATTATGTTTGCCCACCTTAGCAAGAGTGTTCGCAGATAGTGGTGCAATGAGCATAGCATCAGCCCATTTCCTTAACTCTATGTGAAGCACGTTGTCTCCGATTCTGCTCCAACTTGACCATTCATCTTCATCTGTGTACAACTTAACACTAGTTGGAAGTCCTTTCCTGTCGATAAAATGCAAAGAAGGTTTGGTAGCAACTGCTCTTACTTCAGCCCAGTCAGATAGACTATCAGCAAGAACTCCGAACTTAATTGCAGCTACACTGCCGCTGGCTGCCAGGATAATACGAGGTTTCCGATTAACGACTCGTTTCTCCCAGGAAAAAGCATTTGGAGAGGGCTCTGGTGTTTTGATTTCAGGAAGTCTCTCCGACGGGATATTAGCATCAGATGCCACAGGCTCCATGTGAAACTATAAGTAAAACAGATTTTCTGCCGCATGACACCCTTCACAACGAGATTTCAAATTACCAGGTGCGCTCCAAATCAGTTATGCGGTAGCTGGTGATGAGAAGTCGGAGACAGACATTATTGTCTTCGCTACTTGAGAGCGTTTACTTGAACTACTTGCCACGACATATGTCTCACACGTCACTCATTTCTGCAGTTCACCAAATACAGCATACTACGGATTACGCTTGACACATCCTCGACATCACAACCATCATTGCGATCTAAAAGCACCACCTTTCAGCACACAATTCTGAGACTTCCGCGACTAAACGGGTTCATCTCCATCAAAATTACATTCTCCAACCGCATAATCAAACAGCGTGATCCAGGATCAAACCTCTATATCCAAGTGCTCTAGTTCGACTCCACGCTCAGGCCTCCGTATGCTCTGAAAAACTTCTGAACAAGGCGCTCCTCATGGCTACTCTTAGAATTCACGACCAGCTCCCAAACTCCGATTACAACCCGCTAGCCACACTCCAGAACCGCCAAACTGCGTTCACATTCAATCAACCATCTGTCAGCTAGAATATCCAAAAAAACAATCCGCCCAAGATGGAGCGCACAAAAGCGCACGAAAACGCAGAGAACGACCCTAGACCACAGCGGCAGACAGAAAGGGCAGGATCGATGACATCCCTCTGTCAAATCGTCTTCTCCGAACCTTCACTCGACACAGCTAACACTGTATTTCCACCACTAAGAAAGCTAAAAATGCAGGAAAGAGGCAGTACCTTCTCACAGGTAGGAAGGAGGAGCGACACGAACAGACGACGGTGCATTCGGGGCGCCCGCTCAAGGTTCCTGAGGACGACCCTCAGAACCTCAGCCAGGAAGAAGGAAGAGCTTGTGTCCTCGAGTAGCATAGCCTAGCATAGGACTACTACTACGAACGGGGAGCACAGCAAACCCTAGGGAGTCGCTGGAATGAGCGGGACCCAGCGGAGCTGGGGACGATGACAGGCGATAAATTTGAATTTCCGAGAGCTCATTGCTGGCTGGCTGGCTTTCTCCCTCTCCCTCCCCCGCCCTAAGTGCTCACCTCTCTTTCTCCTTTTTGCACCTACCTTTTTCTCCATCTACTTTTCCGTTTTTTGACTTGAACTTTCTAATAGAAACTCCGCTGGTAAGTTAAATAGTTTTAAATAGTTTCAGTAACTTATGTCAGCGTACTTTTACCGACTGATTAGAAATTTAGTGTTTCTTCCGCAACATGTCAGTTTTGTGGTATTTTTGTAAGTACTTTTCTTTTTTAATGCATAATTTGGTTTTGGGTTATTTATAAAGAGGTTTGGTTAAGGTATTGAGACATGCATTAAACTTGAAATTGTGATTTTTTTTTGTTGTTGCATAAACAGTTGTTTCTGACTGCTGCACGTTACGTAAAAGTGCATACATAGAGCTACATCATTTTACTAAAAGCAAATCCATTTGGAAGAACATGAAATTAAAAAATTAAATCTAATTAAAAATTAAGGAACTTTATTTAAGTAGTATAATTTTTAGTTGTGGATTTATAAAAAATTCAAATGCATTATTATAATTATTTTAATAATTGGAATATGTGATGCATTTAAAACTGCCTTAACAAAGTGTTTAAGTTCTTGAAAGATTAGCTAAAATTTTATTAATTTTTATAAAATTCAATATATTTTGAAATATTAAAATTAATATCCACAATCTCTTACCATTTTTTTATGTCTACAAAATTTGTGAATCAAAATTAAACAAAAGTTTCAATTTCAAGTTTATTAAAAAGTTGTTAAAGGAGCTTTACACATTCAAAGATTTAGGAGTTCTTTTTTCTAGTTTATAATGACAATTAAACAAATCAATATATTACAAAATTCAAATCTAAACTTAGCTGTTACATTTCAAAGCCAAATTTAATAAAATTGATAATATTTATTTATTTATTTATTAAGCATATGTCAATTCTACTCAGAACTTTGTTGTACATCAAAATATGATTTCAATCACCTAAAACGAACTGAATTTTTTATTGTTCTTAAACATAAAATAACATAAATCTAATTCATTTGTTTTGTAAAATGATATTGTTTGTTTGTTTTTTCATATTGTGAACTCTATTTATTTATTATTGACACTTGTTTTGCTGTTTTCATGTTTTATAATATCATCTCTTGATATATGTGTATACATTTTTTTAATCCATTTAATCTCTATATTCAAAAATACATTCAAATTATTTATCAGATGATAGTTTTACAGTATTTTTAAATTATATTTTTGGGAAAATTATATTAGTTTCAGACTTTTATAGAATTTTGTATAGAAGCTTTAAGAAGACGTTGGAAGAATATGTAAGAGTCTAAAAGACAGTACAAATTTCTATTAAAGATCTCAAAAGATTATGAAGTGGTCTACAAGATCTTTGCAAGCCAATATTGTTGTATGTCTATAGTGTTATTTCCTTTTATAATGATAGGTTTTGTATAGACCATTAATAACTTGTTGTGTCATATATGTAAAATATTAAAAAAATTAATAACTCTTTGACTTTGATTTATTTTAATTTCTTAATGTAAATCTTAGAATATTCACAAAAAATAATGTGACCTTTCAAAACATTTCTGGCTTTCTCCAAGTAGCCTTTAAAATTACAAAATTCCACCAATCTTGAACTGCAATAAGCTTCGGATAGCTTCAGATAGACAAGTGGGTCCGCTCCTAACGAACCATTGTGCAGTAAAAACGTTACAAAGACCGGAGCTTAACTTTTGATTCTTAAGAATAAGTTGACTTTCGTCCACATCATAGAAATTCTAGCTCTAGCAGAGCTACTGGTAACAGCAATAGTCTGTGGAAATACAAAATGATCTCAAGTAAGGATCTATCTCGATGCTAAGTTCCTAAATCATGTCAACGGTGACAGCAAACCACTGCTGCTTTTATGTCCCCGAGTCGATTCAAATCCAGAAGATGCACCCACTAAGCACAACTGTAATAGAGTGGTTATATCATGCTCGAGGAATTGCAGCTCCAAAAGGTCCCACAGCATGTGAAAGAGATGATCTAATAGATATCGATTGACAGAACTCTAGATGTTAGTTTCACTCTCTTCCGACTTTGGTGCCTGCAACAGAGTAGGGTGTGCAGCCAATATGATGGCCAAATACTCAGGATTTCGTTGCAGAAAGCTGCTGAACTCCTCCCAGTTAATGCTCCCGTCACGATTTAAATCCAGCGTGTCGAAAAGTTTTAACACCTGTTAATCAGCCAGTTCGCAGATGCTAAAAATACGGTGATCTATGTAAGCATTTTGATTCCTAGACTTTTGTAAAAGAATCGCAGCATTCGTAGAAAGAACAATTGAACATCCCAACTGAATGGATCAGCGTTTACCGTTGCTGGGGGGAGCTCCGGGAATACGGCCATCAAGCTGCTTTCCACCTCATTACGAGTGAGGGTGCCATCGCCATCCACATCACAAGCTTTGAATGCAGCCTTCATTGTAGTCTGGAATGAAGTGTGGGTAGACAGGAAAGCAAGCCCTGCCACAAACTGCACACGTGGTGATTCGCTTTAGAATCTCCATTTGTTTTGACAAATTGAGCATTAGAAATACGTCTGTAGGGGCTTTCAGATGCTGCAGTAGACGTAGGAACCCATTCATGTCTCAAAACATTGCACTTCGGCGGATGTAATTCTTGTGAGGATATTGAAGGGAGATTCAATGTACATACCTCTCGAAAGTTTATAGAACCGTGTCCGTTCTTGTCGAAAAGGTTGAACACCTGCTCAGTGATCTGGGTGGGCGGAAGATGGAGTGCTTTAAGGAACTCATCGTATGTGACATAACCACTGCAAATACCAGAGAAAACGAAACTTGAAATTTTTTAAATCAGACGTCAGTGAAGGAGAGCACATAAGCCTCGAGCCTCATGCAAAATAACCTCATTGGATGGCAACCAGAAGCCAAACATTTGCTTCATTATATATAACATGGGGTAAAGAGTGAAGCATTCATCAAACCCTTGAGGCGCATGAAATATAAGTGGATACTGGAAACTCATTTCACGGACCTGTGTGAAGGATCCATAGCACTGAATTTTTCCAAGTATTCCTGGGCCTTGGAATAGTCCAGTCGAAAAAGCTTCTCCATGCGTGCGAATTCAACCAATGAGCGTCCTGAAGGCTGCTTGAGCTTCTCTGCAGCCATTTTTAGTTTGATATCTAGAAAGTTATGTTCCGTGCACACAACGCCCAGCGCTTTGGCCATCTCAGTCCGTACTCTATTAGCAAATTCATGGGGATTTTTAATCTCATGCACATTTGGCGTCATCACAGGCAAATACTCCACCTACAAAGAAACAGTCCAGCGACGGAACAAATTACCTAATGCAACATAATTTTCGGGAATCATATGCAACTAAGAATATTGTGCACTGCGTATAACCATCCTTTCTTCCCACAAGAATTCGATTCAATACCTCTAGCAGAGAAAACTGTTACCACTCTAGGCAAAATGAATTCTGAAGGGAGTGAGCGAGGAAGCTAGCACGAACTGCCCTTTTACCTCCATGTAATTTACAAACTGAGTCATCAGCTGAAAGAGAATGACCAATGGCCCCCCTTGGTCACACCAACACGGATTCACATACTTGTGGGGGTATTTAATGACCATGGGTTGCACAGGTAGACCAGGCGAAAATGCTCCTGTTTTGAAGGAGATCAACGCTTTGCCATTTGTGGTAGTCCCCTCTGGAAACAGCATGACATGCGGCCACTTGTTGTCCATAGCTCTTCGTCGGATATTTCCAGCCGCATGGTGCCTGGACGCGGGGTTTATTCGGTCCACAGGTATGATCTGAAAAGGACATCAAGGCATCAGTTTCTCAGTTTCATAACACCGATTCTCAAGCAGTAAAAGCTGCAGGGGCATTTTCACCTTATCGAAAACGGGGGAGAAAGGGGTGTGTGCAGAATTGAGACGTACCTGCAGAGCTTGTAAGAACATTCCGATTATGGGCATCTCCACATTTTCCTTGGCTGAGACGATGACCGGCAAGTGCCTATAGAACACAAAAATGGGATCCACAAAGCCGATGTGGTTGGATACGATAATGGGCGCCACAGACCGGTGGGCTGGTTTTCCCTTGACGGGGATATAGTAATACCCCATGGCCACCATCACCCCTCTTGCTATTAACCTCACACTTACCAACAAGAGTCGCCGCAAAGGATTGAAAGGCTTGAACAACGGGTCTTTGCATCCGATCATAGCGACCTTGACGCATATGTAGCCCAACATCATGAGAGCGAACATGCTGAGCAAGCGTATGACGAGCAAGGGGACTAGCAGAATGGTCTTGATCACTTGGGGGATGCTCCACGTGCTGGACTCGTGGAAGGGGTTCACTGGTGGCTCCGGCCCTATCGTCGGCCGCTCTCCAAGAGGAAACTCAGCATGATTTGCCTCTGTGGAGCCGTTTAGAGTGCTAGTGTCTTCTGTGAACATCGCAGTATTTTCCGTGCTGGTCATGCTATCCGTCGATGGTGAGGCCTGTGCAGTGTCGATTCTTCAGCATGCAAACCCCACTTGCAACTTCCTACTGAGTACCAAAAAACTCGGAGCCACTCGTCTCTGAGCCATCATACTATCGTTCCACTTCCCATCTTCATTCAGTCTTGGGTAACCAAGAAGGTCTCTGCAAGATGACGAGAACAACATAAATCGTATGAACAAAGACGTCATGTCACTCTTTCAAACCAAATACAGGTAATTCAAAAGGGACTGCTAGTGGCCACCCATCCCTTCTTGGATTTTGAGCCAGCAACAAAAGATTAAGATGAACGTCAACCGCCAAAACTGCAACTACAAGAGCGGATTATCGCCAGAATCATACATAATAACCACTTGATTTACAATTATCAACTGCAAGTTTCCCCCGCGATATGGTCAGAGGAACCACAATGGCGCAGCGGAGCTAAGGCAACTTCGGAGGAATTCGTTACCTGTATGATTCAAACTGTGCTTAGACGAACCTTACAATTCAGTCTGCCATTCAATGGAAAACAAGCATGAATTTACTCAACAACCCGTCATACCAGCTCCATCATCCACGAATCCCCGACCGACACTCTCAAAAAAACAACGAATCCGAAATGAACAATTCACAAACCACATGTGGCGACCTCAGTCTCCCATCCCAAATGCTCTCTAAACCGGCCGTCCCACTACAACTCATCACAAACGTGCTATCCCCGCGAAAATTCCAACCATTGCATCAACCAAATTCTCATGCCATAAACGGACATAGCAAGCCACACGATTCACGTCGAACCAGCCCCAACAAAGGAACGCCAGGTCCTCCACCAGCACACACACACACACACTCCTGCTCATTCAAGCACTCACGTCTCTTCGGCGGCACGCACTTTGTATAACCATACCCTTAGTTGATGATTCAGAGCCACATTTGGAGTTGTACCAAGTCCACAGCGCAGCAAGTCCTTCGCGATGCGGGAGCTTCAAACGGAACACACAACAAACCCACGGGCCAGAGGGATCCAGAGGGACAAACCCATGAACGCAATCACAAATGTGAGCGCCGCGGATTGGTTAACAAGGCTGCGATCACGATCCACTGCACACCGAATTTCGCATCCGTGGCGTTCTTTTGTTTTCCTGCGAGGGACCTAGGATCGGTCGTTTCTCGCCAAGTGGCCAAAGGTGGTGAATCCGGAGACTGCCACGGCGCCGCTCGGAGGTCCCACGAATTCTCCTCCTCCATCGCTGCCCGCCTTCGCCCTCCTCGTCGGTCGTCGGCGTTGCGGTCCGGCGGACCCATTCTCACACGACCTTGTGGATGAATGAAAAGTCTTGAGCCATCATGTGGATGAATATAATGATGGATGAATGAGTGGATGGTTGGATGGTTCTATTCGTTGTCGGATGAACGCCGTCGTGTTGTTTTATTGGATGTTTGAGTGGATGAATGAACTCGTTTTGTATTGAGTATTTTCAGGTTTATTCACAGAGTGTTACTTGGATTTATTTTTTTCTCTAATAATATGATACATATGTGTTATGTTACTTTTATTATTTTGAAATTTTAATTGTGACTTAAATGCTTTGAATATGAAATTTAGTTAACTAATGTACTGAGTATGTTGGTTTATGGATAGATATTGGCATACTAGATGATAGAAATAAAAACAATTAATCAGATATTTTAATATGACGTTGTCATTTTGGTACACCACTACATGGATGCATTTTAGATTCAAAATGTTACTTGAAACATAATTTTTTTGCACAAACCCTATATAGTAGTGAACTTTGTATGCACAATGAACAATAATATCTATCTACACACATTGTTTTAAAAACATAACATTTGATTAAAATCTCAACAACAAAATTTAAAATGAAGGTATAAATTTATTTTAATATTTAAATTTAAAATGATAAATAAAATTATAGGTTTTGTTTTTTATTTTTTATATTTAAAATATTAAATTCTTAACATCAATATATAGAGACATTCGTTTTCTTAATTAAACAAGGTGGGTATTTGTAGGCAAAACAATTATATTGCATAGAAGTTATGTTTATTTGATACAAGACAATTCTCTAATCAATGGTTGTTGTTTTAGAGCCAAAGGTTGTGCCAAAGATTCCAATCTCACACAAAAAAATTGTTGCCACTTCATCCAACAACAATTCTATTATCTAATCTTAACCTCAAATCCTACGAATTGCAATGCATTGGGTCTTGCATCTATTCTTTTATTTTGTACATGTGTTCTTACAAAAACAAGGATATTGTCAAATTAAACCTCTTAAAATGAATTTGTTAATATTTTATGTTATCTTATTATAATTATTAGTAAGACTATTTGTTAGATTTTAAAAATTCAAAAATTCAAAAATAAATTAATATAAATTTATATTAAAAAGAAGGCATAAATTTATATTACAATAATTATTTTATAGAAAGTATAAATATTAGTTATGTTTGATTTATATTTGTTAGATAATTTTATTTAAAAAATATATTAGAAATAAAAGTTGATAAATAAAGGTCATAGATATTTTATAAAAAAACCATAAGATTAGGAAATTCAATATCGAAATTGTAAAATGCATCTATAGCAACTTCTTAGAAGTAGGATATTTCTTTAAAAGATTTTAATAACTACTTTTTTAAACTAAAGGAAATTAAAGGTTTATTCCTAATTTTAAAATATTTCTTAATCTTTTTTGAAAAAAATATTCCTACCAATTTTGCTTCTTCTTGTTTATAAAAAGTAAGATCTTTTAATACTACAAAAAAAATTATAATTAATTTATATTGAATTTTTTATACATATGAATACATATTAATCTACCAATTCTTCATTTTCACTATTTACGATTAAGTGCATAATTCCACTTATGTGTAAGGTTGTGTAATGATATTATTTTTTCTTTAATATGGTTTTTTTTAATGATGTTACTATTCAAATATCCCAATTCTTCATCATCATCATCTTCTTAATTTTTTTCTTTAATTTTAAGTTTTAAACTTTTAATATAAAATAATATTTTTCTTTATTTTAACATATATATATATATATATATATATATATAAATTTTTTGTAACCAAGGTTATATTTTCATTGTCAAAATTTTTATAGAAATTTCTTAAATTCATTTTCATAAACATAAAAATCTAGAATCATAATGTATATTTTGTTGATTTATGTGCTACAAAGTGTTTGAATTTCTTACCATTTTATTTTTCTTTTTACAAAATTCATGCCACGTTGTTATTGCTACCTTTGATGTGTCTATGTATTTTTAGGAGAATGTTAAAATGACCCAGGTTTTTGTTAAATTGACCCACATGTTTAAACCATCATTGTACCCTCCAGTCCCGGACCCCCCTGTCCTCATCTTGTTGCACTCCAACTCATTTCTGATCTTTCATTCAAATCCACTGCTACGAGGATGCGAAGCTGATGAGATAAAGCTGTTTCCGGACATCCGAAAGGTTAAATAAATAAATAAATAAATAAATAAATAATAAATGGAGGAAGTCGTCGATCGGAATCACCAGTCTGTCTGTGCTTGTTTGTGCATCAGAATCAGACCAACCAGGGAAGGAACAATATATATGTTGCTCTATGAAACTACAAACACGGCATTGTTTGAAATGTAGGTTCATATGATTTAATTTGCATCGGTGCAAGTAACCATTAATAGTAATCCATTGAAAAATGTATATAATAATTATACACTTATTTGTAATGGATTTTTGTATTTTAGTAAGGTTGTATGGTTTCCATCTTTTCGTTTAATATATTCTCTATTTAAAAAAATTGCAAATAAAACAGTTTGATCCATCTTAAATCACACTCTTTATTACATTATCTGCCCAACTTGATTTTATCCATCTTTCCAAATGATGTTTTAGCTTAAATATTACATAAAACTTAATTACTAAGTAGAACTAAGACATCTCATTTTTTTTTATGTTTTATATGCCGAAGAGCTCTAATCTATTATAAAAATAAGATTATATATACATACATACATATATATATATATATATATATATATATATCATTACAACAAGAGATTAACATATCATCAATATCACCATTATTGTTTTTGTAAGCAAATTACCACTATTTCTTACTTTTCAATTTTTTTTTTCTTGCTTCCTTCTATAAGTATTTTAACCCACCTGTGTATTTATTGAATTTATATATATATATTTTTCAGTAATAATCAATTAAAAAATAATATAATATTATTTTCTATTTTAAAGGTAGATATTTACTTATTTTTTGAAAATTTCACTATTTAAGGTTTTAGAGTTTATGAATTTTATTTATTTAAATTTTTTTATTGTTATCATACAAGATCATATACTTTTTAAATATCTTGTTTTTTATTTAATTATATTGTATCTTTTCATTGGCTCAAGTAATAAAAGTTATAATAGCTTATAATCCTAAAATTTATATAAGAGTTCCTAATTTGTAGAAACCTTTAAAAAAATTGTCCTTTATTTGGAAATGGATCCACAAACTCATGAGTAAGATATTTTGGCATTATATACTATGTACATCCAAAAAAGACTTAAAAGTCAACTTAGTACTTTGTTTCATGTTTCCTAACATTTACTAATATTTCATTGAAATTACTAGTGTTCTATAGTAGGTATTTTATGCAATTTTTGTACAAACTAAACCATCTCATCTTTTATATTAGGTTTATAACTTTTACATGTCTATAACTTGCAATAGAAATATTGAATATATATATATATATATATATATATATATATTATCTTATCTGAATATATATATATATATTAACTTATATTATATATATATATATATATTATCTTCAAATTTTTAATTTTTAATTTTTTTAATGAATATAATTGACTTTGGTTATATTTGAGCAAATCATTCCCTGGCTTTGCTATCTTTAGTTTTGTGTGCTTATTTTATTTATTACACTTTTTATTTTTACATACTTCACTAGATCTTACTTTTTCAGCTTTGATCTTTATGAGATTCTTTAATATTATTCACAACACTCTCATTTTACTTAATAATTGTTACTTATTTTGACGTAAATGCATCCACATTGACATTGTTCTACCTTGGTTAGTGATTCACTAGCATAGCATAATGAATCAACTTTGATGCATACATCATTTGTTGGGACTTATTACAAAAATCGACTATTTTACAAATTGATCAAATACCCGTCCAGTGACACAGACACAGCATTAGTTTACACGCACGAGTTTATTATATGCAAACATCCACGTATTAATTTACACTCATGTGTCTGTTTTAACTGACAAACCCACGTTATGATTATCTATTATTCTTACCATGACTGGCTAATATAAGAGAACAAGTTGAAACAGGGACCTCATGAGAGATAAAGTGTTTCAGAACCTGAAGATTGTTTTTTCCAGAGCTTGAACTTGACTGTATGATATCTCGCTTCGACATTGCCGGGTCGATCTGAACGAAGTTGAGGAAGTCTTTGTCGTTGTGCCCACATTCACCACCTCAGTGAATATGCAATCCAGATTTAGCTTGCTACATTATATGCACATGTTAGAGGAGATACACAGAAGCTATAAATACCAGTTGTTTTCTGAACTGAGATGAGTGATAAAGAAATTCACGATGCACGATGGTTACAGGAGATGACCAACTCAAGCTCCTACAGACAACAATCCAGCCACGAAAAATAAAACTCTGCACGCATTTAGCCTACAATCTTACAGCTGTTTCGTCAAAATCAAACGACACAAAATGCATCACTATTCCTTTCCTTTGGAAATATTTAGTCTGACAATGCCTGGGCATTGGGCAGTCCAATGAGATACAGGATGGGTGATAACTCAACCACATCGAAGATAATGAACTAAATTTCAGTTGTGCAAAAGGTGCTGAAACATTGTACAAGTTCTTAGAGCAAAGCTTCTCAAGACTAGTGCCAATCTGATTCAATTTTGATCGCCCTGACCTGCAGTATTTTTCTAGTCTACAAAACCGGATGCCCAACCTGCATAACGGATGGTTCTACATGTGTCAAATTATGTACAACTTGTAAAAAGAACAAAGCACTTCGCTCTAGGTTTCTTGTGCGAAACAACATACAATTCTCCTCATGGGTAAAATGCACAATTAGGATTACAGGAGCCATGCCGTTAAGATCTAGTGCTCCCGGTTCTCCCTCTTCTCTCTAGGATCCTTTATCCTTTCATGTGGCTCCTCGTCTTCGTTCTTCCTCCTCTCTCTCGATTCTTTCTTCTTATGATCTCGCTCTTCATATTCCTGATCCCTTTTTTCTTTCGATTCTCTTGGCTCCATTAACTCCCTTGACTCTTTTCCCTTCTGATAGCGCTCCTGCTCATCCTGCTCCCTTCGAACCTTACGCTCGAGCTTTCTCTGCTTACGCTCCTCCTCCTGTTGCTCCCGATGTCTAAGCTTTTCTTCACGCCGAAGCTCTTTCTTCTGTCGCCTCTCCTCCTCTTCAATGGCAGCTTGCTTCTCACGATTTTCTTGTTCTTTCTCTTCCCGTGCCATTATTCGCTCTTGCCTTTTCTGCTCTTGCAATTCCCGGTCAGAAGCTTCACCCTCCTTAACGTTTTTCAACCCTAGAGCATCTCGCATAGATTCCAATTGCTTTTCTTTTTGCGCAGCAATATGATGACTTTGAGTAGAATTCATTCTATACTCACAGAAAAACCACGTACAATTGGCAAGTTGTTTGAAAAAAGACGCAAAAGAGCCTGCAAAGTCTGTATAGCGAAGATAACATGCTGTATTATGTGCAAACGCCCACCAATTCAATCTAAACCAAGCAATCTGAACCAAGAATAACTACTTGATCCCATCCCTAACCTTGAACAGCTTCCAAAAAATATTCACATCTCTTACTCTTGCAACTTCCAGAGCAAACGTACACCGCCCTTTGAAACCAGAGAATAGAAACAGACCTAGAATCCATATCATCAACTTCCAAAGCTCCAGCAGCTTCCAGAGCCTTGCGCAAAATTTCCACGCGCTCCAGCACTTCCTCATCTGGATAGCCCTGATCCACCAGCTGGCCCTCCAGCTCGATCAGCTTGAGCTAGATGCGCCTCTTGCGATCATGTTCCAAAATGTCCTCGTTCGCTTTCTGCAGAACGCCGCCTGCGCCCCGGCCGGTCTGGAACTCCTTCGCCTCTGACCGCACGGGCCGCGACTTCACGAAGAACTTATTTGTCTGAATGTAGCCATTGGTACCGGATCCCCGCGGCGTTGACAAACCAATCCCGTTAAACATCTTAAAAACGCGCGCACAGTCTCCACAGCAGCGCTTCACCAAACTCGGATCGCTGCTTCCTCCTCAATCAAAGACAACGAGAGAAGCTATGGCGGAAACCCTAAAGCAAAGCCATGTAAGCAGCCGTCCAAGAGAGGAAGGCAAAGCACGGGGAGGGGGGGGACTTCGATGGAGGTGACTTCGAACCCGGTCTTGGGAACAGAGAGGGGTCTTAGACTTCATCTACGTCATAAAAATAAAAGGCAGACGATCCATCCATCCAGAATTTCTTCTCCGTGTGAACCTCTCCTCCGTATCATACGATCCTGTATTATTTGTCGTATAACATTGATTACTGTGTCTTATTTCGTATAAAGCCTCTTAACATGTTGCATAATAAAGCTAATGATTTTAACAGTTGGGGAAAACACGGGTTTACAGATTCTCCAATAGATTTGGATGTTCAAGAGGTGTGCCTAAACAAGAAAAAGTGTATGCATTTGGTTACTGAAAAAGCATGAGTGTTTTAATAATCAATTTAAATGAGTACAATTAATGTAGAACTTGGTCTCTCTCCATATATATGAACAGGTTCATATTTTTATAGCAATTAAAAGCTTAAGTTATTATTATTTTTAATTATTTATGAGAAAGCTAAGACTATTTATGAAAAAATAAAGTGAGTAAATGTAGTAAGGTGAATACAAAAGTTCATTATATAATCAAGATTAGGCCAATATTCTTCTTTTTTAAAAGTTAAGACAAAGTTGGAAAGAAGAATAGAGATCCAAAATATTTTGCAAATAGTAATCTAATCCATAATGTGAATTATGCAAATAATAATAATAATAATAATAAAACCCAACATCCCAAAGAAAGACATGGGATTGAGTATATTGAACGGAACTCCAAGTGGTATTGAAACCAATTATGTAGAGCCTTGAAATAGGATTAAATACAGAAAATTGATTGAACAGGCACCATAACATACAGAAGGAAGAATGTATCTGCTCACCTTCAACCCCATTGTACACCCAGCTGACAATCGATTAAGAGATTCCTGTGCCTACATTCGAGTTAGAAAAACTATGTTTCCTAGATAATTAATTTCCTCTACCAAGGTGAGTCTAGAGCTACAACCTAATTAGGCTACTGCTGAGAAATGACTAAATTTTCTACAATTTCCAATTGCGACGGTCCAGTATACACATCCTTATATACACCAAAAGGACAGTTTTTGGGATTAGGGAGGATTGCCTAGTTTTTGCAAAGCCGTGTCACTTCCTTCCCGCTTCGTCAAATACCCAGTGGCTTGATCAGACCTTTCAAGTAACGCAGCGAGCTGCTCCTGCGTGTACCTTTCAGTTGGTTTCATCTGTGCCACATGAACCACATATTTCAGCGAACAAAAGAATGGAAAAAGCACAGAGAAAAAATCGAAGCTGCAGCATTCTCAGAGCTGTAAAACATAATACCTTAGCAACAACAATATGCAAGATGTCATCACTTGTGGAGGATGTATTAGAATGTTGTATGTCCAAGCGCAATTCTTGCAGGGCCATCATCATGTTGACAACAGAGTAAGCATCTCGCACGCAGTTGACTCGTATCATTGCCTCCTCTCCGAAGACGTTCACGGCAATGCTGAACCTCTTACCACCAGGAAATATGCCAAACACAGGCCGAGTGCCATTCCTCTCAGGCTTCAGTTGGGTATCGTCTTTAGGTGCACCAATTACAAGAGCCTCTTGGCCACGCTCGCGCTTCGCACTGCAAACCCTCTGAAGGTCCTTTATGCGCATTTCTGCGTCATGAAGTTTCTCCTGCAGGTAGTTGATGTGCGCAATAGCATCGCCCAGCAATGAAGCTTTGTCCATCTGATTGAAGGCAACAAACATTCGCTCAAAACCGTATGGACCAAACAAGATGACGAATCATACACAATGACTTCACAGAAGATGACTTAGCAAATGCATCACTAATTCCAGGTGAACTCTAATACTCTAAGAAGAGTAAGAAACTTCAAAATATGAGAATAGATGCTGCAAATCCTGCCATAAAATTGCCCTGCAGAGCATTTGATCTCTTGTGGGATGGAAAGACACGAATAGAACAGCTTTACCTTTGAGACATTTGGCACAACGGCTCGAAGTGCATAAAAGCGTTTATTGAGCTTCTCTCGCCGTTGCCGCTCGGCTTGAACATGGTTCAGCGGCTCTTCCCTGTCATTAGCAGGCTTCCGACCTCGCTTGCGAGGGAGCTTTGGAGCCTCCATCACATTTACTTTTATTGTTACAGACTCCGGATCTACAAAATCCTGGCCTAGGTGATCGGTAAGCTTCAATCCATTAGCAGAAACAGAAGGTCCCGCTGGCTTCGAAACTGGTGGAGACGGAGATTGTGGAATTGGCTTCAATAAAGGCATAGGCTTCTCAATAACTGAAGCCTTTTCAACTGCAGGCATTAAAGGAAATTGCACCCGTTCCTCTTGATTGGGTAGCTTTGGTCTCATTGTTGGAATATGCCCTGGAGGATTATACATTTCACCCACTTCGAAGTCACCACTGTATTGCGGAAAGGTATAGGTTGGCTGCAGCTTGGAATGTGGTTTTTCCATTGCAGGCAAGGATGCCGATCTATGATCTAATTGCGGGAGTTTCCCTACATTGTTCATCTGAAAAACTGAATGTCGCGAGTTTGACTCGGGGTTTTTAGGAAATGAACTAGATGCTAGGAAAGGAAGCTGCTCTTCCTGTAGAGGTAATTTACCTAAAATATCATACATGGATTGTCCTAAACTATTCTCAACATCATCTGGAAGTGGATCATTGCAGTGGAAATCGTTTGTTTGTCCCCACAAATGGTCGAACCCGTTGAAGCCAAGTCCACCCGAATGGAGTAACAGCTTATCCGTGTGAAAGAGCCTTGCATTAAAGTCTACGCTTTCGTGGTCTGCTAGACCTGGGTCAGTGTTCGATGTAATGGAGGTTGTACCTGCGATACTCGTCGGATCCAAAGTCATACTTGAATTGTAGGGCATCAATGTAGAATCAAAATTTGCAACTTGGGAATGCGACATAATTTGCATATCATCTAACCCCCACGTTGAGTCTTGAAACACCATCTTAATATGCTCAACAACATCCCAGCGTCTGTGGATCTGCAAAGTGCAAGCTGCGCATCTAAGCAATCTGCTTACTACATTTGTATGATCAAGCATATCATTACAGTGAACAATGAAAAATGAATGCGCTTCACAAAACAGTCCCTCAATTTGGTACAAAAACTAGAGACTCACCAAATCAGTTGAACCAAGCTCGACCACCCCATTCATGGTTGGCACACATAAAATAGTCTGCCACAAAAAATAAAATAAAATAAAATAAAATAAATGTAGATCAACTTAAAGCCTAACAAATTTCATCGATAAAGTATTACGGAAGGATACCAGTCCAAAGCATAACAAAAAAGAGTCTAAGAGATGACCGAAGCAGTGCTCGAAAGTTCATAATGAACGAACTAATTACAATTTCTTCATTCCGAGTATCTGTGAATGTGACATACCTGGATTCCTGCCATCTGTTCTTGGATAGGCCAAATGCAACAATAAAACCAACAATCTCCATGAGTGTAACATAAGCTTCATAGCACAAACCGCCAGAATCCTAATAAATCTAGACTTTGCAACTAAGATCTTATCCAATCTTTTGAATCTTTGCTAGGACGATAAAAAGATGGATTGAAACAATTGAAATAAGACCGTACTGAACCATGTAACATTTTTTACTCTCACGCGAATAACATGTTTGCAAATTGAGATTGTATGTAGACATATATTGACTCAAAACATAGTCTATTGAGAATATTTCCAAGACTTATCCGTCAACACTCATCGTTTGATTGAAAGAGATAAGATCTAAGTATTTCACCTTTGCTAAATTAGCTCGTGTGCAGATTTTATTAGATGCTTTATCTGCTTCCTCCAGCCATATGTGTTGCCCCAATGCCAATGCCTGACCAGGAGTGCTACATTCAAAACAAAGAGTGACCCAATCAAGCTTTCTCGAGGAGTAATAGATGCGACTTGGTCTGCATACATCAGCCAAATTGAAAAGCAATATAGCTAATAGCCGAAGGAAAAGAAAAGCGGAAGAGAGATGCAGAGACAAAACCATACCCAACCCCTAGTGCAAATGAATGACACATAGAAACAAGGTAAAACCACTCCGTGTTTGAGACGTCTTCAGTGGCGTCATCATCTAGACACGAAACAAGAGCCTGTAGCTCTCGTAGTACTTTCTTCCTTTGTAGTTGATGCTCTTCTGTTAGTGTTTGCCTTGAATCAAATTCGTCGCTATCATTAGGTCCCTTATAATACCCATCCCCCCACCCCAATATTCTGCCACAACAGAAAGGTCACAAGTATTCAGAATAAGCCAACAAGATAACGCTAAAATGTTTATCGGCAGCACCAACATAAACCACATCCTCGAGCATAAAAAGTTTAAATCGCTCAGAGTATTGTTGCTTCAGACTCAAGAATCCAGTGTTTTCAATATTATCGAACCGATTTCCTCCACCACCAAGAACAGGATTCTACACCAATTGTTACACAAGTTTGATCAGACATTTTCGAGCTTGATCAGACATCTTCAAAGTCCATCTTTTGGAGAGAGAAAGGCCAGGGATGGTCGTTTGCTACGTCTGTGATAAATTAACATCCAACCACCGCTTACGAAGAGTGACTGAGAAAGACTTGATACCGAAACGAAGATTGTGTACTCTAACTTACATCTGCTAATCAGCTACATCGCAAACTTTGAATGCTCACCTGCATAGTCTATTGAATCATAATGAGATGAGGAAGAGGGAATGCCTCGAGGATCGTAAGAAGTAGGGTCAATACTTTGGGTGTGAATTCTATACATCCTAGACTTACACAAGAACGTAATAAGGAATGATGCCTACTGTAGCAGTGACCATGGTCATCTTTTAATTATTTATTCCTTCTTCTTCGATTTAAGGTCTTGGTGAATACACATGGTCATCTTTTAATTAAGAGGGAGAAACAGCTCAAGCCTCAGCACTTAAAAAACGAGAGAAGCAGCAGGAAGTGCAGGAAAGTTGATTGGCGCAGAGCTCCGTTGTCCAATTTAATAGAATTAAGTGGAGAAGATGGAGGCATACATTCAGACCCAAAGAAATGATTGACAAAAAACAGGAAACCAGGAGGAATTGTTGTTAAGTGCCAGTGGGGACTTACGACTCTCCAGAAGGTGAAAGCGACCGCTGCCAGAAGATGCCATAAATCCAATTCTCTGACGATTCTTCCACCAGCGTGTGCAACCTCCGCTGCAACACAGAATCATTCTGCTCTAAATCCTGTCCAGCGGTGCACCCCAGATCGACCTGAGTCTCATACCCCGGAATCCCATAGCCCCCAATAAAGGCTTCCACCATCAACGGGTCCGTGGCATCCCACAAGTTCGGCGGTCCCGTCTCCATTCTCCCCAATCTTGCCCCAGAACTCCTGGTCTTCCACCCCAATCCACATCCGACCCTGTCTCACCCGTCTCCTCTACAAAAGCGTAAACCCCAACCTCGCCTATCCATTCAGGAGTACTCACTCTACCTACCTCTCGCTCTCTCTCTCGTTTCCTCTCTCTCTCTTTCTCTCGCTCACACACACACACACACACACACAGTCCCCCCCACAACTCAAATCCACTTCCGAAATTTAGCAAAGCCTCCCCACCTCCACCTCTAAAACTGCCATATCTCCGTCAATGCGCCACCATTTCTCACGAAACTGATTGCAATCAGTTTCGTGTCAACGGACTAAGCTGGTCTCCCAGCTGCGACCTTAAAACTCCCAGGAAGCTCATTCACTGGGAACTAGGCAGCGGCCAGCAGCATGGCCGACGCCGAAGAATGCTGCAGCTCTTTTACGAGCATCACAAAGGAGGTCGCCCGATTATGTATTGTACTAAGTATACTATCTCTATGTATTATTCACAATATTAGCATATTATACATATTTAGTATATTCCGTGGATGAAATATACGAAAATGATTTCGATGAAATTTCCTGGCTGACAAACAGCACGTGGTGTTATGGGGTGGCGGTGGAGCCGATGATACTTTTTTTGATTCTGACTCTTCGCGCGCATTCACACCTGGAGGTCCTCCAAATCTAAACAAAGCTCGTATCCCGTTCACACGGCCTGGAAACCCCAAAGAGGGTAGGTGGGGTTCTTTTAGCTGAGGGTGGAATTTTGTCTCGACATCGAGTGCACAGTGATATATAGTTGTAGAATTGTCACGATGTGTGCTAATTATTATTTAAATTTTAATTATTTATTCATTATTTTACAAATAAAATAGATGGCTTTTGATTTAAATGTTCTTTCAGTATATTAGTTATTTTATGTGACCAAAATTTATTTTATTTTAAATTTTATATTTCATAATATTGGATAACTATATCTTTTTAGAAATGGCTCTTGCTACAAGCACACCCTAAATTGCTATACACACATCCATTATGTCTATCTACATATCCAAGGCCTCTAATTGGGTGCTTTATAATTCTTCTTTCTTGTTCCAATGTAAGTCTTGGACCTCTTCTTCTTTATTTCTATGCAAGTCATAGATCTCCTTTCTATCTTCCATATCCTAGCATGAGTCTTAGATATCCTTTCTAACTTCCTAGTCATGTCACCAATATAATAAAGGGATGTAGAAGTAAACTATGATCAACATTGGGACAAGGAAGATAGAGTCTAGAACAACCCATCAAAGGCCTTGAATATGTATGTAGATATAATGGGTGTGTGTATAGCAATTAAGGGTATATTTGTAGCTTGAGCCTTTATAAACTAACTTAAAAGTAAAAACTATAAAAACTTATATTTAAAATGGTATAAAAGTATTCAAAAAAGATGATTAAGTAATAAGTAGTACTATTTTATTTTTTACAATAATTCATACAAATAAATAGATTTGCATGTTGATTTTAATATAGTATAGTAGATTGGACTTATTTATTTTTGAAATAATAAAAAAAATATTTCGTATCAATTTTGATGTTAAAAAATTATTAAGATAGAAAAATTTAAATTCTTAAAGTAAAAATATTAAATAATATTTATAATTCAAGCACATCAACTTAAAATATAATGCACTAATATATGTAATTGATGTGAATAATATATTTATAAAAATTATTTATAAATTAGACTTTATAAATAAGTAGAAAATTAAATTTGTAAATTATTTTGTTTAAAAATCATCCATTATAAAATATTTGGATATATAAGAACATAATAAAAATAAAAGTAAATAATAAAAAAACTTCATTAAATATCTAAACTTTTGTAGGTATATTATTAATAATTATTACATATAAAATAATTTTATGTTATAAAAGTATCTTTATTTGGATATAAATATCTCATGATTCAATGATAGTAGTTAAAACAATGATAACATTTATTATCTACTTTTCAACATGAGTCTCTTTAAAAGGAATATATAACTCAAATTAACCATTATAAGAACTTAAGCATCTTTTTATATTTTTATAGAGAATTAATAAGTCTACTATAAAATTTATAAGTTCAAAAAAATACTTAAGACTAGTGAAATTATGAAAAAAAATATTTTTTTAAGATGAAATATATTAAGAAATATAAATAATTATTTGGTTAAAATAATTTAATAAAATAATAATTATTTTTTTAAAAAAAATTATATAATCTGAATACTACTAATCCACACAAATCTTTTTCAATAGCACATAATTCTTTTTTTTTTTTTTTTTTTTTTTTTTTTTAAGTCATCAATCTTCTAATATATAATACTTCTATTTTAAAAAAATTCCAATAATTCTTGCATCAAAGGCACTTGCATCTTGCAAGAGTATCTCTCTTTTTGTACTTCTATAATCTCACTTTATAGTGGTGCCCCCAAGATATCTTTAAATTCTTCAACAATCCTTGACAATAGATTTTCTTTCAATTTGTCTCGATTTTTGCTCATGATTTAGAAGCACAATCAAAAATTGTATTGCCCTCCTCCTATCCTCACTACAAATTTGTGCATAAGCTAAACCATCATCAAGTACCTTTGTTTCTATTTGAGTTGCAATAATATGTGGTTGCTCCAAAATAAAAAGATAAGTCGTTGCATCTTAAATAAAAAAAATTGTTCCATTCCAATATCACCAATTCAAATTTTCACATATATGCATGTACTACATAACTCACCTCTTATATTATTAGTTGCTTACATTGCCCATCTATGTTCCATATCAATTGACCACTTTTACTTCATATAAGGATCCTTACATATAAGGTTTATCACCAAACTATAATCAATCAAAGCAACAACTGGCTCATCTATATCTCCAATCTTCACTAATAACTCTGTGGTTGCTTTAGCTCAATGCTTCCAAGTATAATGACTTGAAAATTCTTTATTTTTATTATTTTAATCATTAAAATGTATTCTTTGATTATGACTCCTTCCATCATTTGTTGATTGTTTGCAACAATTACCAAATTCATCTTCTTCATCCTCGTATATATATACATCAATAGCATGACTCAATCTAATTTCTCCCATTAATTGCTTCTTTTGTTTAACACTATCAATAAAGACATCATAGAATTTTTTCTTGGTAATTCTCAAAATCTCCTTCAATATAAACTCAACTTTAGCATTCAGCACAAGTTTGTCAAGCACTCTCTTTAAATCTATTATCACTTCAATATTAGAGAATATTTTGTAAGTTATTAATTTATCTTTATCTTTCATCTCCTTTGTTTTTTCTTCCAATATTGTTGAAGTATCCTTTGTGGATAATTCTTGTAAAGCCCCTTCATAAGCCTTAAAAAAGTTAACACTGATGTTACTTGGCCACTGATGGTCACAATGTTAATTTTTTTATTTTCAATAATTAAAAAAATTGCCTTTCAAATTTTTTTAATAATTTTGTAACTTGAAAATTCTTTTTAGTTCATTTAATCTATTTTAAGAATAATTTTTTGGTAACTCAATTAATATCCTCTAAAAAATACTCATCCTTCAATGCATATGAAAATATCTTCCATGAACTTCCAAATTGTCCTATAATAGATCTTATATGCTCCCTTATCTCTAGTACCATAGCAAGCTCAAATAATTGAATCATCTCTTTTTTAGAAACACAATTCAATTCTATTTTCCACACATAACATCTTAAATATTTGGAAATATTTCTTCCATCAAATTGGTCAATCTTCTTAACGACTACTTGCAATGCTTTGGTTGCGAAAGTCTCTTTGCGATCATTACCTTGTTGTTGCATAAATAATGTAAATACTTGAAATATTTTTGTAGTGTTTGGATCAAAGTACATACCTTGTTCATTAGTAAAAAACCCACTTTAAGCTCCACTTGAATATCTACTTGAAGCTCCATCCAAAGGACCATCACAAATTCCAAATTCAACCTTCCTGCCTTCTTACACCATCACTTCTAAATAACCACAAATAAAATTCAATATCTTCTACTCCAAACTTTCATGTTAGATTCACCACTTATGTCATATTACATGTTGTCATGTTGGAAAATGCATCACATATATGGTTATAGAAGGTGAATTTCTATTTTATAAGTATCCAAGAATTCTAATATGTTTCATCATGATAAGAAGAATTTAATTCTAATTTCAATTGAAAAGTACTTAAATTCAATAAAAAGAGCTCAAAAATATTTTTTTTAATAATCTCAACCATACATAAATTCCAATTGCCTTGTTACTTTCATAATTAGATAATTTTAATTTTTTTTTTGTAAACCTTAATCCTAATCAGTAAGCTTTAGCAAGCTATAGCTCTTAATCTAACTATCCGCTTAGAGCAAAATTTTGCAAGCAAATGCCACTATAATTTTTCTATGTGTTCAAAAAGAATTCACTCCAATCCAACTTAAAAATCATGAAAAAATGCACAAAAACCACACTGATGTTACTTGGTCATCAATTTGAAAGTTAATACAAATGTTTTAGTAGTAATTTCTCTTTTTTCAATAATTAAATTCAATTCAAAATTGGTGTATAGCTTGATCTTCAAGTCTTCTAACACCATGCCAAATTTCACCTAGATCCAACAAGTAAATCTTTAGATATTGCAAAAATCCTATCCAACCTCAAATTATCAACTTTTGATATCTTTTTGTATCAAAACCTAGATATCTCTCAATTGCCCAATTAGTTTTTTATAAATTATTACATACATTTAAAAAACCTAATTAATCAAGTACTATCAAATTTTAGATTATAGATATGATACCAATTTTACAAATTAGCCTAGAGTGTTAGTCCTAATTATATTGCATAAATCCCAAGTTGCCAATACAAACCTTGATTTTGAACAACAATTGCAAAGTCCAAATAAATCCTACAAAAATAAGCCTTATATCTTTAGAAAAATCTGCAAGCTAGCTCTTAAATCCTAATATCCAATTGTCATAGACATACAACTGAAGAAAGTTCCAAAAGGTTCCAAAAGATTCTAGAATATTCTAAAAGATTCTTAAAGGTTCCAAAGGATTTCAGAAGGTATCAATAGATTTTAAGAAGGCTCTTAAAGATTCTAAGAAGTTCCAAAAGATTCCAAAAGGTTCTAATAGATTCTAAGAAAGTTTTAGAAGGTCATAAGAGGTCTTAAAAGATTCTAGGAGGCTTTAGATGATTTAGGAAGTTACCAAAGAAGGATCTTAGGCTTGCTTTGTTTTTAAGCCTTATAGAAACTTTTCTTAGGATCTAGTATATATAGGAGTTGAGGCTGAGGGGATCCTTAGTCTAGACAACCCACTTCTGATGGTCTAATCAAGACTTTCTTGCCTTGTATCTAGTTGTTGTTCTAATATCAAAATTAACTCCATTCTTTGATCTTGAATCGATGTCTGGTATATGG